CTTTCCAACAATTCACTAAAAATGTTTTTATGAAGTATTCTATTTTATGTTCTTATGAAGTATTCTAATTTGTTGAGATTGTGAATTGGTGGGTTTTTGTTAAATGTGAGCCAAAATCATCACAAAAAAAAGAACCAAAGACTTAAACTACTTCAGTCTGTGTGCATTGAATTTATTTAATACACGAGTTTCACAATTTGAGTTGAATTACTGAAATAAATGAACTTTTCCATGACATTCTAATTTATTGAGATGCACCTGTATATATATATACATACTGAAGACGTTGAAATTATGACAGAACAAATATGAAATTATGTAGTCAACAAAAACGTGTTAAATAACCCAGAATATGTTTTATATTTTCAATTCTTCAAAGTTGCTACCTTTTGCTTTGATGACAGCTTTGCACATTCCTGGCATTCTCTCAGTCAGCCTCATGAGAAGGAATGGTTTTCCAACAATCTTGAGTATTTGTTGGCTGCTTTTCCTTCACTCTCCTGTCCAACTCATCCCAAGCCATCTCAGTTGGATTTAGATCGGGTGATTGTGGAGGCCATATTATATGATGCAGAACTTCATCACTCTCCTTCCTGGACAAATAGCTCTTACATAAACTAGAGGTGTGTTTGGGGTCATGATCCTGTTGGAAAACAAATGATGGCCCCACCTAGTGCAAACCAGATGTGTAGGCATGTCGATGCAAAATGCTGTGGTAGCCATGCTGGTTAAGTGTGCCCTCAATTTTGTCACCAGCAAAGCACCCCCAAACCATCACACCTCCTCCTCCATGCTTCACAGTGGGAACCACAGGAACTGTCCATTCACCCTTTCTACGTCTAACAAAGACACGGTGGTTAGAACGAAAGCTTAAAGTCCTGAAGTCGTGGCCTAATGGTTAGAGAGTCGGACTCGTAACCCAAAGGTTGCGGGTTCGAGTCTCGTACCGGCAGGGATTGTAGGTGGGGGGAGTGAATGTACAGCGCTCTCTCCCACCTTCAATACCACAACTGAGGTGCCCTTGAGCAAGGCACCGAACCCCCAACTGCTCCCCGGGCGCCGCAGCAAAAAAAATGGCTGCCCACTGCTCCAGGTGTGTGTTCACGGTGTGTGTGTGTTCACTGCTGTGTGTGTGCACTTTGGATGGGATAAATGCAGAGCACTAATTCCGAGTATGGGTCACCATACTTGGCCACATGTCACGTCACTTTCACTTTCATTTCTTGTGTTTCTTGGCCCAAGCAAGTTTCTTCTGCTTGTTGTTCTTCCGAAAGGTATGGTTCCTTTGCCGCAATTCGACCATGAAGGCCTGACTCGCACAGTCTCCTCTGAACAGTGGATGTTGAAATATGTCTGCTACTTGAACTCCTAGTAGCATTTATGTGGGCTGTAATCTGAGGTGCTGTCAATAGGCCGTTTCTGTGGCTGGTAATTCTAATAAACATATCCTCTGCAGCAGAGGTAGCTCTTGGTCTTCCTTTCCTAGGACAGTCCTCATGAGAGCCAGTTGCATCATAGCATGTGATGGTTTTGGCGACTGCACTTGGGGATACATTCAAAGTTCTTGAGAATTTTTGGATTGACTGACCTTCATTTCTTAAAGTACTGATGGACTTGTCTTTTCTCCTTACGTAACTGAGTGTTTCTTGCCATAATATGAATTTGTACAGTAGTTGTAGTAGCACTAATAGGGCTATGGACTCTGTACCCACCCTTCTTCTGCACAAGACAACTGATGTCTAAAGCACATTAAGAAAGCAAGAAATGTCACAAATTAACTCTTGACAAGGTACACCTGTTAATTGAAAACCATTCGACCACCTCGTGAATCTGATGAGAGAATGCCATGAGTGTGCAAAGCAGTCATCAAAGCTAAATGTAGCTACTTTGGACAATCTAAAATAAAACATATTCTGGGTTGTTTAACACTCTTTTATTAATTCCATGCATTTTCTTTTATAGTTTGGATGTCTTCAGTATTAATGTACAATGTTGAATATAATAAAACTAAAGAAAAACCACTGAAGGAGGAGGTGTGTCCAAACTTTTGACTGGTAGTGTATATATATATATATATACACATTTATATGTATATATAGTTTACATTTATTTATTTATTTTTGTCTATTGGTGGACCTGATAATAAAGAACAGTTCTCAATTCTGTTTCTTTAGTTCCCTGACAACTTACCCTGTTCAGTAGGACTACAGCCAGCCCCAAAAGATGTTGGAAAGGTATCTATTAACATCAAACCATTCTTCTAAATTGTGAAGCAATTTTTCTACCTAATTTTGACGTAGTTGTTTCTCTTGTTATGTACATGATTGTATAGCCTCTTTGTAGTGTCTATTTTTTTTCACAGAACTGTCTAATGTTTTTCACAGCATTGTGCAGTTGAGTTTGAGGTGAAAGCTTTCTGTGCTGAAAGCCAGGATGCCAAAGTTCGCAAACGGTTAGTCCAAGCTACAACTCTTTGTTCTTATTCTCTATACATTGGGAAACATAGTGGATACTGTTGTATCCAGGCCTGCAATGATTTACTTGTACCACTTTGCCTTTTATCCTACCATTATCTAAATTCCTTCATGTAGTCAATGGAGCAGTGTAGACCATTTTTGGGTATCTCAACAGTAACATGCCTTGTTCCCCTCTTTCACAATCAGGTGCTCAGTACGTTTGATGATTCGTAAGGTCCAGTATGCTCCAGAGAAACTAGGAGCAGCTCCCTGTGTGGAGACTACTCGTGACTTTCTTATGTCTGACAAACCGTTGTATATGGAGGCAAGCTTACAGAAGCAGGTGGGTTTTAAACAGACCACTAGTCGAGCATGCATGTATCATAGTTTGTCTTTCTTTGGTGTTATTAGCAATGTTTCATATTGCTTTTTAAATGAAGACTGTTCATTGGAATATAATGAATCAATGTGGAATATTGCACCATAGTTTGTATTAAAAGATATAATTAGAATTTTCTCTTGTAGACTTACTATCATGGGGAACCCATCAACGTAAGGGTCAAAATTAATAATGACTCAAACAAAAATGTGAGGAATATCATGATTTCTGGTAAGACCAGATTTGAAAGCATTGACACGTCAATTAGAAATAAGACTTCTGTAAATATAAAATAACACACTTGTGGATGTCTGTCTTTTAGTGGAACAAATTGCCAGTGTGGTGCTGTACTCCAATGACAGTTATATGAAGGCAGTGGCCATAGAGGACTCTGGGTAATAGTTTTATTCATATATTTAGACGTAATTCAATAAAATAATTAATGTTAATCTGATTAAAGGTTGCTATTTGGTGCAGGGACACTGTTGACTCTGGTGCCAAACTGGATGAAGTCTACACTTTGCTCCCCCTACTGGCCAATAACAGAGAGAGGCGAGGCATTGCACTGGATGGAAAATTGAAGCATGAAGACACCAATTTAGCCTCTTCAAGCATGTGAGTCCCCATGTAAAACATTGGAGTGAAGATAATGAGAGCTGTTTTAGTTTACTGGGCTTTGTGCACAATAAAGGGTTTTTATATAGGCCTACTTAAACAACAATGTTTACAATGTTTAAATGCTTTATTGCAGCATCAAAGAAGGTGTTCTGAAGGAAGTTCTGGGGATCTTGGTGTCTTACAGAATTGTTGTGAAGCTTATTGTTGGAGGATTAGTATCCCATGACACAATATACTACTACAGTATATAGCATAAAACCATACATGCCTAATATGTTTTACCTGTAGTGTGTCATGTACATCCTAATATTTTGTTCTTCTCTTTCATAGGATTATGGGATCCAGGTAAATATTATTTCTTTAATCTTGGATTAAGAATAGCCTTCGGTTGAAATCGTCACCACCTTTCTCCTCGTTGGCGATGGCCCTGCATATCATTGAAGCTTTTTTTATGTCTGCATATATAGTATTCAAAAGTCTGAGACCAAATTGAAAGTCTGAGATTTAAAATCTAATTTGAATCTAATAGATATATTTTTGCTAGTGGCCTCAGACATTTAGACTATAGTATTTAATCCCTTTATATATGCTTTGTGTTTTTACATATCAGTGAAGTTGGGGTGGAGCTCCCTTTCCAGCTTATGCACCCAAAGCCTGTCACAGGTATTATATACGAATGTCCTTGCTTATGTTCTTTTATTTGTCTTTTAAATATTTTCTGGTTCATATTCAATTGTGTATAAACTCTGTTAAAATGGTGTTTCCTCTTTAATGCCTCTTGAAGTGAAGGAAAGGTCAGTCAGCATTTTAATAATTAATTGTAATGTCTTTTTCCATCATGTCCTGCTTGCAGGATTATGAAGTAAAGAATTACAAATACTCACATTACTGTAATTAAAGGCACAATATGTAAGTTTTTGTCGCTAGAGGGCGCATATTCAAAACAAACAAGAAACAAAGGCGTAGTTTGATGATGCCGTGATTGAGTGTGGAATCATGGGAGTTGTCGTTTTCATCCCCACAACCGATGCAATCCGAGGGACTCGGGCAGAAAACATGTTCATTGATGCGCTAATGTATTAAAGACTTATTAAGGTCACTGTAGTATGAAGCAGGGTGGGGCTAAAAGTCGTGGAAGTGAAACGAGGCCGCTGGAGTGATTGCTAATGAAGGACGAGCGCGATACATGGCTCGATAGCAGCAGAGCTTTCATTATGCCACAGTCAACAGCTTCCGCTTCTTCCGGTCATGCATATGTGGGGTAAAACAGCGCTGTTTTATACTAGATACATTTGAGTGTATTGAAAGTTCTGTTATAATGGTACTCTGTACGTTCATACCCTGTCTAATAAAATGCATAACATATTAAAGTGTCTTTGGGGTTTCCATATTTCCAACAAAATAAAACCGGAAAAATCGAGGGGTTATGACGTCATTGGCAGGCGACGCAATGACACTATGGACACGGTCCGTTAGACTAGTTAAAATTGCTTATTTCTCTGGATTTAAACATCCTTCAAAACATGTGGGATAATGTAAGTACACAAGTCAGCAAAATATATAACACTGTTCTAGTGGTTTTGGGTGATTTTAATCAAACAATCTTACATATTGTGCCTTTAAGTAGTTTTTTTATCAGAAATTTTACTTTTTTGAGTAGTTTAAAAATTGTGTACTTTTACTTTTACTCAAGAACATTTTAAGTGATGTATCTGTACTTTTACTCCGCTATTTTCCCTCCGTTTGTGGTCGTTACATGCTTGTTTTAATTAAATTTTTATCCATCAACATGATTGGATTGCGTACATGTTAATAACCAGTAAGTGTCACGTTGATAATGCGGTAAATTCCACGCCCATTTACTTCAGAATCAGTAGGCTAGAGAGACACGCACCCCTTGTCCAAGTACCCACACTTGCGGTCTTGGCCACTTAAGAGCGCGTGTGCGCGACAGGAAATAAGTGCGCAAGACTGTCCCAGGTCTTAAAAATACCAAAGCGCAGTGCCCTTAACGCACACTAAACCCACACTATCTCGATTACCGCTCCAGAGTCAGAGCAGAATTCCAGAGTTGTATGATCCATCAAAAATATCTTAAGCCTAGTTCACACTACACGACTTAAAACGTAGGCAGATCGCAGTGCTGTTCAGACTACACGACTTGCTGTTTGTCTTGAAGTCGTTGTGGTGTTCACACTACGCGACACTACGTAAATGATCCGCAACAGGGGGTCACACACTACAGGAGCTGACAACAGGGGCGCAGGAGACAATTTCAAAGTGTGGGGGGGGGACAAACTGCAAGCAAAAGCCCAGATAGTAAGATCAGATTTCCAGATATAGGACCACCACTTCAGGCTCACCGTCAGACCACCATCATATATTAAACTTGCCTGATCATTGATCAGGATTAAATCTTATTTAACACAGCCTAATTCAATTTGGTTTCATATACCAAAGGCTATATTTAAAAGATTTGGTGGGTTAGAATTTTTGTTGAAATGCAATTTTGAGATTTCTAAATTGCCTGATAAGCTTTCAAATTTCCACAAACAGACATTGCAATACTGGAAAATGATATTTACCCACAATTTTACACCACATGGAGCTGCCTTGTGGAATAATAGAATTATTACAGTAAATAGGAAGACGCTAATTACATTTAGACAGACGCTTTTACCCAAAGCGACTTACACATGAGGACAATGGAAGCAATCAAAATCAACAAAAGAGCAATGATATGCAACTGCTATATAACAAGTCTCAGTTAGCTTAATGCAGTACACGTAGCAAGGATTTTTTTTAAATCATATAATAAAAAATAAAAAAAACATAGAATAGAAAAATAATAGAGCAAGCTAGTGTTAGAGACCTTTTTTGCTTTTGTTAATCAGAAGTCAGAAAGTCAGAAATATAATTGTATAATAAATAAAAAGAAAACAAATAGATAGAATGCAAAAAGATTAGAGAAGCAAGTGTTAGTTTTTTTTTTTTTTAAGAAAACAAGCAGTTAGTAAATAAATAGAGTGCAAGTCTAAAAGGCCTAAACAAGAATGGTTTGAGAAAAAAGTCCATGTTGTAGATTTGATTGATGAAGATGGTCAGTTAATTCAATATAATGCATTTATGGAGAAATTTGTGATAAAATGTTCCTTTTCTTGCACTAAAACAATACAAAATAGTCGAACATATTCTGATTTAAGACAGAACTATTTAGATCAGGGTCAAATAATTAAAGTGTGGAAACCAAATATACCACCATAACGAATATTTGTCATAACATCATTATATTCTATGGGTTTTGATGAATTTGCCGACAATCTGTAACTGTCATATAACTGTATTTTCACTGTCTTAGAGGAGAGTGCCATTGAATGTTTAGCTAATATGAAGTGGGTTTTCATGAAAAAAAAAAATCTAACTAAAATCAGAACTGAAAACAAACTCCCAATAAATGTCCAAACAGGGATTCTATCACAGCATTTATTGTGTTATATCTTGTGCACCATTTACATGTTGATTTGATAGGAAACATTATAATTGTTACTTACTATTGGCATCATTGTACAGATTGAGAATTCATTGCACTCATTTTAAATTCATTTGCGGTATCTGACATAATATGACATAGCATTGATCTTTTATATGCAATGTGTCTTAAGAGCCATATTGGCTCTTTTTAGAGGGGTTGTTTTTAGAGGGGTTTAGAGGGGTTTGACCAACCAGTTAGACAGACTAGGTTATTTGTACAAATCATCCAAGCACCCCAATCCCAGCCATTTCTAATATACATTTGATTAATATGACTAAATATTATTAAATTGTAACAAAATTGCAGATCCATCTTTGATTGTCAAAATAATTCCAGGTGCAGTTTCCTCTCAGCCAATTAGATTTCACGTAGCATTTTCATCGGTCAGTCGTGGAAGTCTCTTTGGTTGATAAATTTTGACAACGTTAATCCAGGTGCGAAAATAATTAATTTCTATCTCAAGAGCACGGAAAGATTTGCGAGTGAAATTTTATCATCAGCATAACAACTTGAGTAAATGTAGCTGTGTAAAAGGTAGGGGATGATGCCCCCTTCTAGAACAATGTGCTTTTACACTTAAATTGTAACATAAATTATCATGTTTATGATTCTCATTTCTTTATCACAAAACACTAAACCTGGCACCATTTTGGAGAGAAATTGGCTCTTTTTAATCTCTCTTTTTAACCCATCTCATGGTGTATGTGATGAAGTTTCTAATGGTTTTTGTATTCTTTACATTGTTCTAAACATTAATATTTTATGTGCAACAATAGCATGCTCTGACTCAGTGGCCTTACACCTGATTTTAAATCTATTTTTTCAAACATTATGATTTAAATGGTCATGAGTGTACTGAGAATAACTCATCTTTTCAACACTTTTCATCATAATAGTTTTTCAGTGTTGTTTTGATGTATTTTAAAGAGTTAAAATATTCAAAATTAAAACTTCTCGATGATAGATATCCTTCATTCTTTCTGACAAACAACAAAAGATAATGTTAATTACAGTATGTTTTCTAAATGTTTAAATTGCAGTGTACAGCATTTATTATAAGGGGGTAGAATTCACAGCTCAGTACTCACTATTCACTACTTATGAGTACTTTTAAATAAGCTACTCTTTTACTCTTACTCAAGTAGTTTTTTGGGCAAGTACTTTTTACTCTATTCACACTATATTTTTTGGAATGTATTGGTACTTTTACTTGAGTATATTTTTTCATTGCTCTTTCCAGCACTGCCTGCTTGTCTATCTTTGCTTAAATAAACAGCTTAAAGCTGCATAAGATGATGATCTTGCTGATCTCCCATTTTAGCCAGCTGACAAGTTTCCAAAACCCCTCTAAAACCATCACAACAAGCCAGCCTTGACTATCAACTTCAGACTAGATTAACCCTGGTGCTGATTGTGTGCCGGTCAAAAAATGACTGATTTTTATTTTTGAAATGAAATGAATGTACTCTATTATATTTTGATACTGTTTTGTATTAATATTTTGTTTTTTAGCGGATTTTATGGGGAAATTTGGGCGATTTTTTTTGGGAAATTTATGGAATAGTTATGATCCATTTTTTTACCTGTTAACCACTTTATGAGCGTAGACATGAAAACTTAAACTATTGTAAATCTTGAATGTTTTGTAGCACATACTTACGTTTGGTCTCTTTTAAAAAATGCTCTTGCTGAAGTGAAAAAAAAAAACTAAATTTAAAAAAATTTTAAAAAGTAAATTTAAGTTTAAGTTTATTATTATGAAAAATGCACAAAAATACTATTTTTTAATTTTATATGAAATATATATATATATATATATATTCCAAAACCAAAGCCATAAATCTAAAAAAGTTGTGTTCCAAATTTGAGGTTGGTACATATTTTTGACATTTTTGACTGCAAACGGTACAAGTATGGCGATTTTTTTTTTTCAGGACCATTTTCAAATGATGTCCATGATTTATTATTATTATTATTAATAATAATAATAATATTATTTCACATAGCAAGTGCCAAAACCTTTACCAAGTTTCATACCATTCTGATTAAGTAAAAAAATGGGTTTAGCCCTTTTTTTTTTTTCTTTTTCTTTTTTTTGCATGTTCAAGAATTTAGTTTCTACACAACATTACATCTCTTCTATTTTATATTTTAATATCTAATTTTTATCTAACCTCAATAATATATTTGTAATGTATCTGCTTCTTGTCCTTTTATGTGAATGTGTGTCTGTATGTAGTGAACTGGAGGATGAAATGGTTTTCGAGGAGTTTAAGCGCACCTACTTGAAGGGCATGGCCGAGGATGAGGGAAACGTTTCACCTGGCGAACACTGAGGAATACATGTAGTTCTTGAAGCATCCCTCTATACAGTATGACTTTTTTTAAGGCTGCTCAAAACAGACAATCATATATAGAGCATTACCGCAATAGAGCACTTTGGACAGTTATTAGCAGATAAAGTTGTAATTTGTATTGAATTCCATAGTTCTCTGCAGACCACCCAGACCATGCTGTGACCATTCTTCAGCTGCCTGACCTCCACAAGGATCTCTGGAGTTGTAACTGAAATTAATAGAGAGCTTTGTTTTCCTGTTTTATGGTAGTGGGAGCACTCCCTTTTTGATACTGCATCATTTTGGTGTATATCTTTAGAAATTTGGAAGAAACTGATGTGCTGGAGTTTGGTGACTACACAAGAGTAGTCCATAAAAAGTAAAACTACAGAGTAAAATCAAACCTCTGTTTTTAGTTGTAAAAGTTATTTTAGTTATAAAGCAACATTATTTGTTGTAATAAAACACTTAAATGTATTATTACAAATTACTGTATTATAATAAAAATTGTACTGTAGCAGGATGTTCAGTTTATGAACACATGATAAGGAAGGTAAATACTATTTTACAATCAATACAAAGGTTTGGACATAAGTTCTTAAACTTCTTTTTTTATTATTCATAAAATAACAGTATAGATACGGATTCCGTTTCTGGAAGTGGATCTGTTTTCCAAGTGCATCCATATGATTTTTTTTTTTGCATTATAGACTCAGCAAGGTGCAAAGACAAATTTATTTTCATTCTTATTTCGCAAAAACAGTTCAATACAGACCAAAGTGACTAAATAAATCATTTTTATATTAATCTCAATAATGATATGTAATATCACAATTTCTCAAGTGAAGTTGATTGTCAACTGATTGTCCTAAAAGTTAGGAGAATTATATAATATCAAAAATATCTTTAATATTTTCTCTACTTGAGAAAATATTTTCTTACAATGATAAATCTGAATCTGTAAATCTATGTTTTAATTATATCAGCACTAACAATAGTTAGCTTGCTTACTGTTGCTTACAATGACACTTTTGTACTCCTACTGTTATTAGCTTTAATCAACTACAACGGAGTAGCTTAGCTAATACACTAGAACATTTGTTTATATTACTGTCTACATTGCAGATAAAGCACATTGAGCATTGGGCTTTAATCCTCTGTCACTCATACATTACGTGAAAAAAAATTAATTCATAGTTTTAATATAATTTTAATTATTATCTCAATTACACACATTAACTAAAGTTAATTAAAAAGAAGCAACTGTTCATGCCTGCTTACAAAACAATTTGCAATTATTCCACAATGATATGTTGAGAAAGTGAGGTAGCACAGGCAATGCCCTAATATAATCCACACATTTTCTTGGATTTGCCAGAGTATAATATTCGCTGATGCTGCACAAATGTACCTAGTGTCCATTTTACAGAATATGATATATGCATTGTTTTAATATGTACTGGAAGTTTACATTTCAAAAGGTTTACTAAAAATGTGACTGTCCAAATGCTCAGAAAATGGGCTTTAAAGGGTTAGAAAGATATTACTAATGGATTTCAAGTAATTTATCATACACAAACAACATTTGCTCTAACTGTGTGACATTTATGAAACTAATCATGAGGCACCTTTTTATTGAATTAACAACAAGTAATAGAACCATCAACAAGGAGATGTCTTACCCTAAACAAATGGGCATAAAAAAATAACAGCTCATTCATTTTAATATATTCAGTTTACTTAGACGTCTCCTTAATTCAATTTTTTTTTTTTAAGATAGTAGTTCTGGAGTGTATTGAGGTTTCTGTGTCCAAATATGTTAGGGAGGTGTTTGGGCTTAGGTCATATCAGGGCTGGACATCTGGGGCAAGAGTGGTAGTAAGTTCTTCTAATTCATCCCAGCTGTATGTTCCACAAATAGGATTTGGTAAATCACGTGACATTGGCATGCCACAGCTATCACACTAACATTAGTGAAAGGAACTGGCAAATCTGGCTGTGGGTAATTTCTGCTTAGTGCAGCAAGGGTCAGGAGCATCCATTACCCCAGGACCCCCTTTTTTCCCCTTGTCTCCATTTACCCCTGCTGCACCTTGATGGCCAGTGTCCCCATTACTACATTTTAGTTCTAGAATTCTGACTGTTCCATTTGCACCATCTTTTCCATCCCTGCAGTGACAACTCCACCAACGTGTTTAGCACGTTGGTGATAATATTTTTTACAATTTTGTTCAAATTGCTAAAAATGTTAACTAACTTACCCTTGGGGCCTCATTGTCCTTTAAGTATTTTAAGTCATCTTTTGATGCAAACAGTGCTACTGATACTTTCTGCTCCACTCTTATATCTTGTTTAGACAAAACACATCTCTTCCATCTTTATTTGACCCTCTAACTCTAGCACTCTCTATTCTAATTCTATTCTTTAAAAAAAAAACTAAAAAAAAAACTAACTCTAGCTTTCTAATCTTTTTGTATTCTATCTGTTTTCTTTTCATTTATTATACAATTAACAAATGCAAAAAAGACCTCTAACACTAGCTTGCTCTATTCTTTTTCTATTCTATCTGGTTTTTTTTTATTTATTGTATTATTTGAAAAACCATTGCTACGTGTACTGCGTTAAGCTAACTGAGACTTGTTATAGCACTTGTATATCATTGCTCTTTTGTTGATTTTGATTGCTTCCATTGTCCTCATTTGTAAGTCGCTTTGGATAAAAGCGTCTGCTAAATGACTAAATGTAAATGTAAATGTAAGTCATTTTAAGCCAAATGGACCCAGATCTCCTTTTTCACCAATACCACCTATTTGACCTTTTGTTAGAAAAAAAAAAGGAAGCATAATTGTCAATGCTCCTCTTATCAACTGTGTGCATTTCAGTTGCATATAGATCGCTTTCAGATAAGTGACTCTATATTAAGTAAACTTTATGAGTAAGAGCTGGTTTCATGGGTCTTAAGTGACTGTAACTGTGTTTAACCTTTGGTCCCTGCTGACCATTAAACCCTGGGCGACCTTGAAATCCTGGCAAGCCTCTTATTCCTGGACTACCTGGAAAACCTATAAAAAGGAAACAAAAGAAATCTACTGTGAAATTACATATTATGATATGTATAAAATGGGAGAGTCTAAGAATTGGTTCAAATTAATAACCTGGCAATTCCCCCATCTCCTTTGTCCCCCTTTGGACCACTGGGACCCCCTTTACATTGTGAGCAAACACAGAACCAGGGCATTTGATCCACAGGTGGAGGCACTGGTGCCTCAAGGAGCATGTTACAGTATGAAAGGTCTGGTTGTTGTCCAAAAGACCATTTTAAAGGGGTGGTTGATTGCGATTTCACTTTTTTAATGTTAGTTAGTGTGTAATGTTGCTGTTTGAGCATAAACAATATTTGCAAAGTTACGAAGTTGAAAGGTCAATGCAAACTGAGATATCGTCTTTTAAAATTATGGCAGTTTAATGCCTACAAAAACGGATGGTAAGGGACTACAACAAGTTACTTCCTATCTCATTCAGCTCAGCTCCAACAATGAACTGTTCCAATTTTACACTTATTTTCACATAGCTGTGAGAAGCGTTAAACATGGATGCGCGTGCAGTTGCTGCGCGGGGCTTCATAAAAGCAGGAAATGATCAGCGCATTTCTCAGAGAAGGGACAAAGCGGTGTGGAATAAAGGTAAATTATGTGAAAAATAATGTGTATTTAAAAAAAAAAAAAACGAAGCATTAACACATTAGACTGCATCCCATAAACACAATCAAGCCTAGAAAAAAATCAGTGAACCACCCCTTCAAGTTTAAAGTCCCCATGAAATCAAAATTGAAATGTTTTGGCTTTTAGCATGAATATGTTAGCCTTATAGTTATCTATATGGCCGGCAGCGGTCATGTGACGGCCTCCTCGTGTAAAGACCGAAGAGTGTAAAGACCATCGACTCTACCGTGTGACTCCACCGGGCAGAGACACCGGCAAAGGATAAGTATTGCTTTTTATTTCTTCTCTTTCCTACTACTTGTTTCACTTCTGTTTCCGTTTGTATAACCATTTCTTACTATGTGTCAGTAAGTTGTTGTTTTTTAGCATGTAAGTTTGGCAGTGTTATTTTTTAGGATTACAGATAAACTACTGTCGTTTGATTTGTATTATTTGTATTTGTTATTTATTTAAATTTTTGTTAAATTATGTCTGAATTTATTATGTCTGTATAGGTCTTTTTTATTAATTTAGATTTATTTAATTTGAGTTATTTTAATACTTCAACAAACTAAATGGAAATGAAATAATATATATATATCGATTTTATAAATGTGTATGTATATATATATATATATGTATGTGTGTGTGGTTGTACATACACAT